TCTTTTCTGTTGGCACTTTTTCCACGAGAAAAGCTTTCCTTTTTTACTCATGTAATATACACCCGACGAAACCTGAAGAATGAATCGGCCGAAATATTATGTTAACAACAAATATTCGAAGAATAGAACCGTACTTTGAATGATAGTTTATTTTGAATTATTAAATAAAGTATTGTCAATTATTAGTTGTTTCTATTAGCGTTTCATCTTATTTTAATTACTATTTATTACAGTTTTTTTTTTTAAATATTACAATGATTATAGAATCGTTTGAAAGATTGATATAGTGTTCACAATTACTTCATTTAGTAATGCAGTTTAAGAAACCTTTTAGTACCCCCACTATTTGTTCTGAATTATTCTAATATCTTTCCAAATAAACCAAGTTTTCCTCGGAGTTCAAATAGGTTTTTATGTTGTACCTTATCAAATGCTTTTGTATAGTATATGGAACAGATGTATACATCCTTCTGCGTCATTATTACTTTGTTTTCCTCCTTCCACCTAGAATTCACTGCCATTAGATATACAACGATTAGAGCGAAATAAAAGATTTTTTAATAAATCCTACCAGTGATTTCACATGCTACATAATCAGTTAGTAATATATTCGTATGTCAGAATATCTTAAATGTTGTTTACATAATTTTAATTAAAAATATTTTTCAAATTTCTTAGATGAAATGAAATCAAAATTACTATTAATTTTTGCCTATTGCTTTTTATAGCTGTATTCTTTTTCTCATTTCCACCAGACCACCTTAAAGCTTTATTTATATACACTAATAGTGTTAAATGTACGAGGGGTGATGAAAAATTATTATCTCGACCCACTTCCTAAAATCCGACGAAATTACCAAACATCAGAATTTTTAAAAAAAATTCCTTCTTGGTTGGATTAAGAACTTTTCAGTACCTCCTCGTAATACTGTTATAATTAATCAGATGAAGAATTATCATGTTTAACAGCCTCAATGATATAATTAATATTTACACCACTAATCTAAACAAGGAAAACTTGTTGAGATTTCGTAGTCAAATCGACAAAGTGCTGTCACGGTAAGAAACTCTTAAAAATAAAAATCTCACCAAACGCTTAATTCTTATTTTTGATCCACACTGATTCCTTAGTAGTCGCAGCAATTATTTTATTGATGGCTTGTATAATTAAAGTCCTAACAACAGAGGCATGGTTATACATACTGATGCTATGGGTTAAACATTTGAGCAACGGGGAACGTTTAAGGGAAATGGGAGCGAAAATGAGACTTGTACTTAGAATCACAAAGGGACAATTAAAATTTCTAGGATACATAATAAGGAAAGAGATCTTGGAGAAGTTAATGTAATGTCAATCCTCCTGTATGGTAGTGAATGCTGGACAATCTCCTCACAGATGAAGAGGAAACTTTGAGGCAAAGAGATGTGGTTCTCCAAAAGAATGTTGTGAATACCATAGCTGGACTATGTAAGCAATGTGGAAGTGTTAAGGAAAATGGAAACAAAAAGATCATTTGTACTTAGAATCAGAAAGAAAAAGTTGAAATTTCGGGAAAAGAGGAAAGACGGCTTGCAGAACCTGACACTCACGGGACACATTGAAAGCAAGAGAGGCAAAGATAAACAGCGTGTAACCTACCTAACGAGCATGTGCAAATAGATGGCAGAACAGGGAATAGAAGGATTAGTAAGGAGACAAATATACCTTAAAGCTACGAAGGATAGGAAGTAGTGGAGAGCCATCGTCACCTGCGGTCTGAATGGACATGATACATAAAAGAAGTTATTCAAATAAAATCATTTTCTATCATGAAATCGGTAACTATCTAAGTATTTAAATCGCAGTTGACAGTAAAGAGAAGTAAGCAATGTTGTAATTTTTAATACTATATTTTGAAAATTAAATATATTTTACATCTATTCTTCTTTATATGCCGTGTCCGCTAAGGACGTAGGCGATTATGACTCTCCACAATATCTTTGTGCTTAATAAATTTTGTCTTTTTGCTATTTTTCCTAACCCTGTTCCACCATCCATTTACCCAAGTTCACTAAGTATGTTATGCGTTGTTTTCATCTGTTCCTCTTGCATTCAATCTGTTCTGTGCGTATCAGATTTTTCAAGCCTTCTTTTCTCATTATTTATCCTAAAAACTTCAACTGTCTATTCCGGATGTTAAGTATAAGTTTCTGTTTTGTTCCTATTTTCTCTAAAACTTCGTCGTCGATCACATATTCGGTCTACGGTATCCTCAGCATCTTTCTGTAGAACCACATTTCTGTTGCTTCAGCTCTCTTCTTAATCTTTGGGGAGATTGTCCAGCATTTACTGCCACATAGGAGGACAGACATCACGCAACAGTTCAGTACTCTTTTCTTTGTTTCTAACAAAATTTTCTGTTTCTCAATACTCTGCTTAGCTTTTGGAAAGCATCTTTAGCTATCCCAATGCGCCTTCAGAATTACATTATAATATTCCATATATCAAATAAACGACAACCATAATGTTCAAACCATTTCTTCTTCGAATGTGCCGTGTCTCCCAGGACATAGGCGATCACAGCTCTCCACAATTTTCTGTCACTTGTAGCTCTTAATAAACTTTGTTTTACTGTTATTTCTCCTATTCCCTGTTACGCCATCCATTTAGTCAAGCTTATTATGGTATGTGTTGTTTTCCTCTGTCTCTTTTGCCCTCAATCTGTTCCGTCAGTATCAGAATTTCTAAGCCCTCTTTCCTCATTATGTGTCCCAGAAATCTCAGCTGTCTTTTCTTGATGTTAATTACGACAATTGTGCTAATATCGTTTTAAAACAAACACAAAACTCTGAGACAAAGAAACGATTGTATAGCGCAGCGGAGCAAAGGAAAAGAACTTGATCCGCACAACAAAGGGTATTATTGCTAGTATAATTTTTAAATATCAGGTATTTTTTTTACAAGCAATGTGTATTTTGTACATATATGTGCAGTGTCAAATCTTAAAAAAAAGATTATGCAAGATATTTATCATATAGTAATGACATGATTCCCTTAATTTTTCAGAGAAGTTGCAAAAAATGCTTTGATGATTTAAAAGAGACTCTCTCTTTTAAAAGCAGAATAGCCCTTCATTTCTAATGTTTACGTGTGTTCCCTGGCATGTGTTCCCTGACATTTTGTAGGGCCCCTCTGTGGGGATCGAATTTACAATTATCATAACTACCTATAACATTATTACACAAACAGTTACTCAACAGCGAGATACCTTTATTCAGAATAGTATCCTCAAACTTCTAGCTTTATGACATCGTTTCGACTGGCATATTTATCAACGAAAACGTTCTGATAAAAACAACACAGATGAAGATATTCGTCTGAAAAATTAATGGAATAATGAAAATATTTTTATTTTGAAATTTAAGACATTGACTATTAATGAATATTTCACAAAGCGAAATTGCGATTATGCTATATCAAAGGTGACAGAACAAGATTGCATAGAAAATCAGCATACAGAATTTTTTTTTTTTTTTACTTGTGCTCACACTCCGACCTCTGGCACTATTGAGAAACACCTATTTCAATAAGTATTTCAGCCACAAGGCGGGCATTTCCCCCACCCTTTTTTTTCTTAAAGGATTAGTCGTGGCCAATCTAGTAAAGTTCTTTCATGGACGTTCATCTAAAATTGACCTTAATTCGTTCGTCGATTGAATAAGTTTTGTTTTCATATGATTGACTTTTCAATTCGAATGCAAATTCATTGTTTTCTATTGTGTTAATACAGACTAATCGGTAAAATAACGCTTTTTGCCTGTATACGACGCCATCTTGTGAAACTCATGATGCCTGACATTGTTGTATGTTAGATGAGTACCATGACAGGACAGTTGTTTGTCTACAACAAAATCATTGTATTTTTGAAGAACGTTACTGTTAACGACTTACTTTGACCTATATTTCTCAAATACTTTTTTACTATTTCTCCTATATAATAAATTCCAATGTCAGTGTGTCACTGTATCGCACTTTTTCCACTTTACTCCAAGAGGTCATAGCCAAACATATCATACCATTTTGGAATCAAGTCGACTCCGTAAGAAAAATTAAAAACATTCCGGGTCGGATCCAGACCCGTAATCCTGAAATTTTGGATTCCCAAGTTTTCATTACTGCCATTGTTTTCGGTGATTTTTTTACGTGTTTTTTTTTTTTTTTTTTTTGCGACGAATTTTTTTTTTTTTTTACGATAACAATTTTTGAAACTTGAAAATAAATTTGGGAAGAAACGAAATTAATTGTGAAATCCAGCGGAAATCACTCTGAAATAAAAATAATTGTTTGTACGGACATTGAAGTTAACACCTAGAGGCGACAGTCTGTTTCATGATAAACGCAATCATCATGAAACAGACTGTCTCTCTGAGTGTTAAATTCAATTTCAGTTTTATTTTATATATATATATATATATATATATATATATATATATATATATATATATATATATATATTCATATAAATATATGCTGCTTCAGAATAAACTTTTATTTTCTTTTTCATTTATGCCAACGATATCCTAATACACACATACGCGCACATACACACACACACACATATATATATATATATATATATATATATATATATAAGCTTATATGTGTGTAAGTGTGCGTGAGATAGATAGATAGATAGATAAAGGGAGGGAGAGAGAGAGGACATGAAATCTTACGAGTAAGTCTATTTAATTAATCATTAATTCGACTAATTAGTTTATGTAATGCTGCAATATTCCTGCTTCTGTCTCGCTTATGTTTTTAAGATTTGATTGCATACACTCAGGGAAATATTTCATATTAACCCTGCATAACGCTTGTTTAGACAGCAAGACTTAAATCAAACAAGTTTTATTCAGCCGACAAGGATTGCCTATTTAATTTTTCATTAAATAACGATTCAAATTTAATGTAACCTTATACATTATAAATATATTTCCTGCTACTCCAAACGATATTTTGCTTGCGGCCATATCACGTCGAAACACTGGTACCTGTACGATCACCGAAGTTAAGCGACGTTGACCCTGGTGAGTACCTAGATGGGTGATTGCTTGGGTATACCAGGTGCTGTCAGCTTGAACGTGCGGGTGGTGTAATGCGTAATCGCTTGGAATTGTTAAACAGAGAGTCAAGTTCCAATTCTTGTTCGGTGGTTATATTCACTTACGCGAAAAATACCCTTGGGAATGGTATGAAACCACAACTTCCCCCTAGCTATGGGTCAATTAGTAAGAGTTGTATCACGAAATCATTATTATCTAAAAAAATTCTGATAATCTAAAAATAGTTACTGGCTTTAAATAGCCTGTAAAGTGTTGACAAACTGTATCAAACGAATCAATCAATCAAAAGATATTTTGTGGATACGCATGTTTGAGCAGAAAAGTGCTTTCCGGCAGGATTCGAACCGATGTACGTCTTCTTTATTAAGTTTCTCGAATGCGCATGTCGGTAAACAATTTAAAAATCAAAAGCAAATAAAAAACCAGGGTGTCTACTCAAACATATATGTGTGTGCGTGAGGCCGTGCTGAAAAATTTTCAGTCTATCCAATTTCCTACAATCTCAACCAAATATCCATACATCATAAATTTTGGGTGAATTTCCTCTTGGTTCGGCTGTGAAGTTTTCAGTAACCCTTCGTTAAAAGAAAGTCTACCAAAAAATGTATACACACTTCAGGAAAGGGAAAACTTGTCTTTCATAGTTTTATCAACTTGCGATAATACTGTTTACTGTAGGATGTTGTGCATCGCAGAAAACTGATTAAATTACTGGCCCTTAGACAAGAAATTGAAAATGCATGTGAAGCAATCCCACCGAATATTTTGGCCAACGTGGCGCGAGAAGTTCGCCGTACTAAAAAATGTCTGAAACTTAAATGCCACCATTTTGAACATCTCTTCTGATTGTACAGTCCAAAAGTAACTTGTATTAATCTCGTAAAGTCTGAATAAATTTAGTATTTCAATATCTATACAAATTTTTCTTTTCCTGAAGTGTGTATACATTTTTTGGCGGACTCTCTCTATCTCTCTCTCTCTCTCTCTCTCAATCTATCTCTCTCTATCTATCTATCTATCTATATATATATATATATATATATCTTACTTATTATAAAACGCAGATTGTGTGTGTGCGTGTCTGTACGTTTATATATTGGATCGGATTTTCTACATTTTTCAACTGATTTCAACAAAACTTCACAGGACTGCGTAAAGTTACCTTGCGGTGGTTCTGACAGCGGCAAAAATTGAAAAAATACAATTGTTTTTGTACGAAATCAATTTGAAAACACGATAAAACACTATTCTGTCACCAGAATGAAAGGGGGACAACTCATATCGAGTTATACTTATATAACCCAGGTTGTTTGTGTGTGTGTGTGTGTGTTCGTTTATATATGGGATCGGATTTCCTACATTTTTCAACCGATTTCAACAAAACTTCACTTTTTTGGCAGGCAGTGTTTGTCTTGCACACTTTTTTCTTTATTTTTACATTCAGAATGCTTTAAAAATTCCATTTACAAGACAATTGTTTATAATAAAATTATATTCAATCGATAGACTCATAACGATTGAAAACAATGTTTTTGTTTGGGTTTGACCAATTCGTAAAAAAAAAAACAAAAAAAAAACTAATTAAGACATGCGTGCCCGTCAACCTTAAACAATAATCTTTGTCATTTTTATTTTTAGTCTTTATGATGGTCGATACTTGATCTATCTCTTACTGTTACATCCCCGGGCAACGCCGGGCTCTACTGCTAGTATATATATATATAATGAAAGACTCAAATCTCTAGAAACTATTATTATACAAAATAAACAGCCCGTATTAAATAAAATATAATTCACCACAGGAGAAGGTATCTTAAAGTGCATATAATATAATTAATATGTGCACATATTTTATTATAGTAATAAAAATGAAATAAAAATAATAAATAAAAATAACAAATTTAAATTGAATAAATAAAGAAATCGCAATATTTTTTGTGCGGCCTCGTTCCCAATAGCCATTACAAATGACGTCACGCTCAACCATTTCAAACGTTCAGTTTCCCAAAGAAAACCAGGACGCAGGCATAGGAAGTCTAACTACCGCACAGACATCACATCGGTTCTTGATAATGACTACGAAAGTCGAAAGTACTTGAACAAAAATAACAAAATGTGAACTTCGAATAATTTATCCACAATCACGAACACAATAATCAACACCTTATCTGAAAAATGTAAAAATACAATAAATAGCAAAAACAAAACAAAAAAAAAGTACTAAAAAGATAGATCTTGTCGATTCTTTTTAATCAAACTTGTACACACACACACACACACACACACACACACACACACACACACACACACACACACACACACACACACAGAGAGAGAGAGAGAGAGAGGAATATGTGAGCGAGCGGCGCTATATTGAGTCTGATTTGCAATTTCTTCGTCACCGAGGCCCGTTGGAACAGATGGTATGCTTGACAACCTAACTGTCAGGGTTTCAATTCTCGGTAGTGGATATAGGGCGAAACGGCCGTCCGGTGCTTTCTGCATTCTGTTGAGGTTTCTTTCAGACCCGATGAATTACTTAAATATATTTATCAAATCCTCCTAATAATTTCTATCATGTATATATATATATATATATATATATGGAAAGAGAGATGCGTGTGTGTGTATGCATTATGTCCTGAATCTCGGAAAACAAAGTTTTAAACAACACCTGACTCCTCAGATTTCTTTTCTGTAAAAAAAAAAAAATGCCTGAATGAGAGATAAGTAAAAACAAAAGAAAGTGGAAAATCCAAAGTATCCGAGTTTGTTATCATTCAGTCCAATTGTTCTTAGTTACAACCATCGATATTAGCAGCCAAGTTACCTGATGACAGTGTAGTGATAGTAAACTGAAAAAGTTAACCATAAAAACATTAAAGAACACCAATGACCTTTGTCGTAGAGAAAAAAAAACACACAGTTCAAACGATCTGACATTTTCAAGAAATAATTTTGTCACGTTCTACTTTTCGTGGCGTTAGACACGACTACAGTGATAGCTCAGTGGATTCTACAAGTGAAAAGAATACCAACATGAATACGGTTCAAATGTAAAAATATATCATGAACCACTTCAAGGTAGAAAAAACATGCAGTCCGTCAGTTATGACACAATATCTGAGAAGTGTTTTAACAGAGGACAGAAAGTGTGACACCGAAATCCGAAGGCGCATTGGGATAGCAAAAGATACATTCCAAAAGCTTAGTAAAGTATTAAAAAACGGGTAAATTTCATTAGAAACAAAGCAAATATTACTGTTATGTTATATCGGCCATACTAGACGGCAGCAAATTCACAGGTGAAGGAAAAACTTGAAGCAACAAAAATGTGGTTCTACAGAAGAATGCTGAGAATATCATGCGAGCAATTACAAAGTTTTAGAAAAAATAGAAACAAAAAGGATACTTATACTTAGAATTAGGAAGCGACAGCTGAAATTTCTGGAGTACATATTGAGGAAAGAGGGCGTTGAAAATTCGACACTCACAAGACATATTGAAGTCAAGAGGGTGAGTAGAAAATAGTGTATAACCTACTTAACGAACTTGTGTAAATAGTTGGCACAGGGTTTAGAAGAGACATTAAAAAGACAAAATGTATTTAGAGCTAAAAAGGACAGGAAATTCACAAACCAACGCTTTTATTCACAAAGCTATTGTCTCGTGGAGCAAAATTGCCGATGTAACTTTATCGTTAAAATTATTACTGATAAGTAAACGAGAATAAATCTTCCGCGACTAAAATTACTGCTTATTCACTTTTGGACTTCATCAGTTTATGCTGGTGTGAGGGTTGTGTGTTTTGTGTGCCTTTGGGGACTTTCTACGAATGTTAATCCTTACGCGTGGATGCGAGAAGATTGGCTTTTCCCTCTCAGGTAGGGCGCTTATATAACATCCTATCACCCAGTTCTTTCGCGTGTGCACATCCTAAGCTCAGTTGAGCCGACCTCTTTATATGTCGGAGGCAGCCAATGATACCTCTTGGGGCTTGATTGTGCAACTTCCAAGTTAGCTGTCTGACGCAGCTTGCTCTTTGATGCTCTGGTGTAACAACGAGTGCAAAGAATACTTTGAATTTCTTAGGGGGAGCCGATTGTAGACTAAAATTACCACAAATAAACTCTTTTCAGATCAAAGGATCCTTATTGACATTAAATTCGATTCAGATGATCTGGTACTGGCGTAAATCACATACTACACCTGAATGTTACCCAGATCAAGAGATACCAGAAGATAAGCAACAATAAACTACAGAAGAACTCAAAATTGATCGCTGCATTTAAGTATTGCATTAATATTTACATTTACCTTTTAAAAGTTCACCGATAATTTTTCTGTCGTTACTTAATTTAAAGAAAATTTGATGTCCAATTTTATATTTACATACGGTCTGATATTGAGCACTTTAACCCATAAATTCATGAACTCATCTCCAATCTGACATTTTATTACTTCAATACTTATATATATATATATATATATATATATATATATATATATATATATATATATATAAGGTTTATCTGAAAAGTAATAGGACTGATAACCTTCTTCGATGTGAGAGGCGTGGCCCACAGTGAGTTCTTGTCACAGAGCCAGTCGATCGATCAGCAAGTCTAAAAAGAGACCCTGCACTGTTTGCTTCATCCAGTGCGCGAGAAGAGACGAGAGTTGTGGCAGAACAAATTGTGGCTGCTTCATTACGACAATGCACCTGTTCACAACGCTCTGAGAACCCGACAGTTCCTGACTGAAAAGAACATAGTGGTACTGGAACAACCTCCTTATTCACCTGATCTTGCTCCGTGTGACTTTTTTCTTTTCCCCAAGCTTAAGAGGATCATTAATGGAACCCGTTTTGAAGGCGTGGATGCCATCAAGTGGGCCGTAACGACGGAGGTGAGGGTCATCCAAAATGAATACTTCCAGCAGTGCATAGAAGCGTGAAGGATGGAAAAGTGCATTAGACTCGAGGTGGGTATTTTTAAGGATAAGTCGTGTA